AGGCAGACTTCTGCAGATAGTCCCAGTCTAGAGATGTATGTTTCATAGTTTGTTTTGGGGTGGGAGTGTGTGTGTGTGTGTGTGTGTGTGTGTTTCTAAACAGGGGCATATAATGCTTAAAAGTCTGAGAAGCATCTTGGACATTCAGGATGGCCAGGGCCTCTATTGCAGGCCAGCAGCTGGACTCTGGTTTCCCCCATTCCAGAAGTCTCCAGGCCACAACTTGACCAGCCAATGGAGAGGCAATCACTCCTTCTCCCTTGATAATTCATGAAGGATAGGAGAGAGCCAGCTTGTTGTGTTTAAATTTTTAGCATTCTACTTCCTTACTCTACTATTCCCCTGGGACCCAGAAAATCTTGGGGTACTAAACACACCCTAATGCTGACATAGAAGTTCAGGAAGGTGGAAGGAATAAGGGATAATGCAAGTGTTTCTGAGGCCACTGATGCGGTGTAATATAGAGGATATGAGATTGGGAATTCCTAGCCCTGGAAATTTGATCCATGTTATTAATTAGGTAACCATGGATTGAGGCTCAATGTCAAGACAGAGATTCTCACCACTGGACCAATTGGCAGCATCAGGATGGATGGTGAAGAGATTGAGATTGTACACAGCTTTAGTTTGCTTGGCTCTGTAGTCAACAGTCTTGGCACCAGCAGCCAGGAAATTAAAAGGTGCATTGCCATGGGAAAGTCTGCTGTTAGGGACCTCTCCAAAGTGCTGAAGAGCAATGGTGTCTCTCTGGAGACTAAGGTGCATCTGATACAGGCCATGGTCTTCGCAATCACCTGTTATGCGTCAGAGAGTTGGACAATGACCAAGGAGGATAGAAGGAGAATTGATGCCTTTGAGCTGTGGTGCTGGAGAAGAGTATTGAGAATACCATGGACTGCTAGGAAAACAAACAGATTTGTCCTGGAAAGGGTTAAACCGGGTGGCTCCTTGGAGGCAAGGATTCTGAGGTTCCGTCTAACATACTTTGGACATGTTGTGAGGAGAGACCGGTCCTTGGAGAGGGACATCATGCTTGGGAGGGTGGAGGGACAGCGCAGGAGAGGAAGGCCCTCTATGAGGTGGATTGATTCAGTGACTAGGGTAATTGGGATGGGAGTGTCAGAGACAGTGCGATTGACACAGGACAGAGTGCAGTTTAGGGCTGTTGGACATAGGGTCGCTATGAGTCGCAAGCGACTCGACAGCACATAACAACAACAACAACAACAGGAAACTAGTAGCATCTTACATTATGTGCTGGGTTGCTAACCCCAAGTCTGTAGTGGCTCCAGAGGAGAAAAATGAGATAGGATTTACTGTCTCAGAAACCCAGAGGAGGGCTGCCGGAGTCAGAGATGGCTCTACGACAATGGAACAACTATGGCAATGGCTCAACTTGGGAAATGACAGTAAGTATTTCACTGGGTGCCTATCATGAGTCAGTGCACTGGAGAGGGACATCATGCTTGGGGAGATGGAGGGAGGCCTAAGGAGAGGAGGACCCTCTGCTGCATTGTCAGTTACCGTGGCAACGGGCGGGGGCGTGTCAGAGCCTGTGAGGATGGCACAGGACAGGACAGGGTTCAGATGATTGATCACAGGGTCGCTAGGCATCATGCTCAACTTAAAGACACCTAATAACCATTAGGAATCGCCTCTCCTTTGGACATGTCATCAAGAGGGGCTGAACCCCTCAAGAAGAACATCAAGCTTGGAAAAGTAGAGTCAGTGAAAGAGAGGAAGTTGGACACAGAATAAGGAGACTCTGGAGGAACTGGATTGACATAGTGAACTGTGTGTCAGGAACAGTGAGACTGGCTCAGGATAGGGCCAGGTTCAGAGCCACTGTTCATAAGATCGCTGTGAGCTGTCACTGACATGTCATGTAAGGAGAACCACAACAACAGACGACCAAAATAACAACAAAATCTGTCTTGGAGGAAGTGTTCTTTGGAACTGGGAATGGAGAGACTTTATTTCATAAACTTTGGGCATGCTATCAGAAGGATTTAGCTAATAATCCCTGGAGAAGGACATCATGCTTGGAAAAGTAGAGGAGCAGCAAAAGACAAGACCTGTAACAAGGCCGACTGATGCAGTGACCGTCCCAGTGGGAGGCGCACAGCACAGAATGTGAGGACTGGTGTACTATCAGGCCGGCTTTCCTCCTGGGATGCCAACAACACGAAGAAGCCCAGTCACAGCCATGGTTCACCGTGGAGCCTGTATCATGCTCATCACCTCATTTCCCTGTCCTTTTTATCCTTTCTCACTTGTTCCTTCACCTATTATTACATTTCCCCTCCCCCTTTTTGGTTATACTGCATGCATTTCTAATTTCAGCATAAAAACAGGCAAGGCCTCCTGATTTTTCCATGTCTTTAGTGAGATACAAACCCTGAATACATTTTTCTTTGTTCTGGAAACAAACTCAAGGAAAGTCTCTCTCAGGGAGGAGTGATAGGGAATGGCAAAGGATACACTGACAAAGAAGATTAATCAGAACTGGCTTTGACAAGCACTGTGGCATTTGGACAAGAACAAACTGGGAGGAGGGTAGAGAGAATAGTGCAACAATGAATGAGTGGAAGCCCAAAATCTCTGTAAATGTTTATGAAAATTAATAAAATATAATTATAATTTAAAAAAAACTGGAGGAAAATTACAAATACAGGAACAGAAATATCATCAAGGCCCATATTTAACCAGTAGCTCTGGGCAAGACTGAGTCTAGCACCATTATGAAGACTGGAGCAAACACTGATGTTAAAAAAAACACAACAACAACCCAAGTTTCTCTGCTTTGTATTCTGAACACACCAAGATCATAAATGCCAGAATTCTAAATGGCTTGCTTGCTGTTAGCAGATTCACTGGAAGTGAAATCCATTTTTTTCTTCCTAAGGGATGCTGAGCTTTTATTATATTTTCACTCACGGTCAAAAGACATCAGCAAATTTACTAAAGTGATTAAAGATCCTCCTCTCACGGCTTTCCTAGCATTTCCCATCTTTGCCTTCACTCTTTTGTAAGTGAGCTTGTCTTCTCAGCAAGGAAAAGTGGGAATGCATTTTAATGCTATAATTTCAGAAATGAGATTTTTTTTAAAAACCCAAAAACTGAACCTAACTCAAAAAGCCTCAGTGGTAACAAAATCACTAATGAAAATAACTTTGTGTATCTAAGAGCCTTTCAAATCCTACTAGACGGTGTGTCAAAACCCCCTCTCTGCTAATCTTCATATTCAGAGAGTCCAGAATATAGTACATGGTCAATAAATCCCTGTTGAGTTAATGAATAACCAATTAATGAACAATTAACAGGTTAATTGTTCATGAATAATTAATCAGTTCAATTCATAGCAACCTCAAGTGTCAGATCAGAACGACAATCTAAATGGTGTCAGGTGAAATTTTGGAAGTAGATTGCCAGGGCTTTATTCTGAGGCACTGACTTTGAGCTGCCAACCTTCCAGTTTGGAGTCCAATGCTTATTCATTTATGCCACTCAGCAACTCCTAATGAACAATATATCCCACTACCTGAGAGCCCAGCATTCCACTCAAACCTCAGCAGAGCATGACTAGACTGTCCATGTGGTAGGGATGCGATACACGCAGAAAGACTAGCCATGAAAGCCATCAAACCGATGGAAACAATTTTCCCCTTCCTGAATTCAGAAGCAGCAACTTTTACAGCCACTGTTTTCCTCCCTGGTAATGACTCACCTGTCAGATGGCAGCCCCCAAGCACAACCGCTCTCCTGGGCACACTCAGGCTTGTAACTGTAGAAATACAATCGCTAACCACCTATCTCCCACTCAAGAAATTACATCAGAACGCACATGAATACAGGTGTCATTAACACAGGAACGTTCTTGCATTCTCTTTAATTTGCTGAGGAAAGAAATCATCCATCATTTGGTGCTGCAGACATTGTTGGCAGAAGAGGACTTGTGAGCATCTCAGAATGACTGGTCCTGAACGAGTGTCCTGCAGGCACTACTCCGTGGTGTGGGAACAGAGCATGGTCAGTGTGCCCTGCTATGCCAACCGGCTCTGCTGCCCCTAGAGATGTGGGTCATGAGGCTCCATGACCAGGGGCTAATGCTCTCAGGGTATTTATAGTTCCCAAATCTGTGTAACTCCCTCTACCTCCAACCTCTACTCGCCCTACATTGTTATTGTTAGGTGTCATTGAGTTAACTCATAAAGACCCAGTGAACAATGGAACAAAACCAAGCCCCATTCTCTGCATGCTCATAATATCTGCCAAACTCAAGTGCATCATTGCCCTACTACATACATCTTTGAATGTATTTGTTGAGGATAAATTATACGTGTAGAAATATAATCTGTCAAAACTATGTACACTGATCAAGGGAGATGAAAGGTGGCTTTCAAAGAATGGTGGGAGTCTGTATGTAATTATTCTGCCTTAACTAAATATACTGACAGTGCCCACCCCCCTTGCCACCACTTTAATAATATCCAGAGTATCACGGAGGGAAATTGGTTGGATCCTCAACCAACTCTCTTGGTTTTTGTTCATTAATTCAACACGTATTATTGAACATATACCATGTCCTAAGCTCTATCTAGAATCTCCATCTATAGATTAATAAAAGAAGATTCCAGTACACCTAGATGGAGAACACTGCTCAAGAAAAATCACATCTGTAAATAAAGAGTATAACAAATAAAAAATAAAACGAAAAAAAAATATTTTTTTAAAAAAGAAAAATCACATCTGAGACCCAGCAAGTCCTCACATACAATCTTGGAGATCTTCCCCAAACTCTGGAGAAATTAGCTCTAAAGCTCACTGACCCCAACTCAGTCACCTCTGTGTGCTCCACCAGAGGTATACACTCTACAGGATCACAGGAAGATCACACGCACTGGAAACTCACAAATCACACTGTCAGCTGGTGTCGCTGCACACCCAACAGTTCTCCATCTTCACAACCACAGAGCAGGAGTTAGAAGCAGCCAACTCACCACGCCACCACCAGCGGAGTGCACGAGCACAGACATGCCTTCCTGCAGGTTGGCCACTTCAAAGAGCATCATGTAAGCCGTGACGAAGTTCATGGGGAACGCAGCGGCCTCCGGGAAGCTCATGTCATCAGGGATCTTGTAGACAAACTCCACCGGCGTGCAGACCACCTCTGCCCAGGCATTGTAATTCACAAAGGCCATGACACGGTCGCCAATCTGGGAATGGAGAAGCACAGGGTTAGTGAAGAATTCCAGCTCAGAAGAGAAGATTTCAGAGGGATTAAAACCCCAGGAGCTGTCATGACACAAGGAGTTCTGCTAGCATAGTGGATTCAGTGTTGGGTTGCTGACCAAAAGGCCTATGGTTCAAATCCATCAGGTGTTCCAAGACAGGAAGATGAGGCAATGTGCTTTTGAAAGATGTACGCCCTTGGAAACCCTCCAAGCATTTCTATCCTGTCCTGAGCACTGCCATGTGTCAGAATCAATTTGACAACAGTGGGTTTGGTCCATGTTACAAAACATCATTTTTCCTAATTCAGCTGCTGCTCATCCAAATTCCAAAGCATATGACAGTTGTTAAAAATATTACATGGTGAAATAAATGACACATTTTATACATTTTTGGCAGTAAAAAATAATCAAATGGAAATTTCACAAGTTTTACAGTTGATTTCATCAATCATTGACAGCTCTCTGTTTCCTGCTCATCCATCTTCTCCCTGACTCATTCCTCCAGGGAGGCGGGTTGAGGGTCTGGTCCCTGTCAGAAATTCTGGACTTGCTTAAAAAGGGAGCTAGAGAGCTGCACATATCAATACCTCTGATTAAGAGCTAAAAATAGTGCACGGACTTCCTCCACTCTTTCAAAATTGCCTTTTAACTGAGCATTCTTTCTTAAGGGTTTCTCAAGAATCTTAGTCTCCACAGCTTAGGATGAGGGACTTGTACTCCTGTGGGAGAAGTATTTCTTGTTCTTAAGAGATTTTTCTACATGCCTTATTTAATCACAAGAGAAAAATTACCATACACTAATAATGTTATAGGAAGAAGCCTGATGATGTAATCACAAATATAAGACAATGAAACAGTACGGAGCGCCAGGGTCTGATCCACAACTATTTGAGGGACACACTTTCTAGGGATAAAGCACAACCATTATAGGAGCAGTATGACTGTTAGTTGACAGGACAGCCAGTATAGGGAGACCACAACTGTTAGAGGGACAGGACAGCCACTATAGGTACAACACACCCGTTAGAGGGATGGCCCAAGTTCAGGCAGCATTTCATTCCAGTGTATATGGAATAGCCATGACTGAGGGGCAGCAAAACTGTACCAGACTCTGAAATCTTCACTGGCCATTTTATTTCATGGCTATCATAGCTTTATGGGATAGGTCTTGCCCGCATAACACAGATAAAGAAACTGAGGTAAGAAAAGTGTAAATCTCTTGTCAAAGGACAAAGCATTCCATGAGTAGCAAATCAGGACTCAGCGTAAGGCCTGCTCTTCTACAACCTCATAGTGATCCCTGTCGTATTTGACTACTGAGATCTAATTCATGTGTTAAACATTTTCATCGAAATTCCACACAAGGATTACTCTTCGTGATAGAGCATCTAGAAGAGAATTATTTTAGTAAGGAACATTAAGTCTTAAGCCAAAATCATGAGCCGTGATGTTGACATTCCAAGTCCTGATCCCAAGGTCTATACTCCTGGTCTGTGCTCAGTGAGAAGGGGTGGGTAGATGCCAGAGGAGCCCGGAGGGGAGTGTCCTAGAACCTGGGATATCTGTGCAGTTAGCTGGCTCTGAGTTCTGTGGGTAAGAGCTACCACAGCGTCAATGTGGTCGCAACATCTTCAGAGACTTGACTGCCCATGGAGCCAGGAAGTGATGGGATAGAAAGACAACTGATGGCCTCTGGTCCCCTATTAAAACTTGAGTACCAAGGAGTTCAGATGGGGAGGCAGCTGGGGACAAGACTCAACTCTGCTGTTGGTGAACCTGGACACGTCCACTTCTTCTAGGGCCCTCCTGCCAAGGAGCTCAATCTAGCCAAAGTAGCAAAGACACCCAACCCCATAGAAGCAGACAGCTCGTTCCCAGTGGGGTTTCTGGGGTTCTCCTGCCAAACTGAGAAGCAATGGAAAGCCTGGCTTTCTCAGTCTGAGATGGAGACAAGTAATTAATCACTGAGAGCATTTGAGAGCCTCACAGGGAGAGCTCTCTGGCTGCCTCCTCCATCTCCCGTCCTTGTCCTTGGGCGGGTGGCAGAAACAAGAGGTTTCCCTCTTCCTGAGCCCTTGTGAGCCTGCTGGAAAAGGAGGAGTTCTCATCTATATCTTCATGGTTTCTGTGGCTCCAGTTCCCACCTGGCTTCATCTCTTCCAAGGCCCAAATGACCCTGGACGCTTCAGATCAGTATGGCACGCATGGGCCAATGACATGAGTTGGGATCAGCTCAATGACACGTGATTGTCCAACTCCAAACACAAGTAACTCACTAATTACAGCAGGACATAAGTGATACGAAGAGGACATTGCCAGTATTGTCAGGTGCCACCGAGTCCATCTCAACTCACAGAGACCCACGGAACATAGCCCACAGGGCTTTCTTTACAGGAGAAAAGCGGCAGGGTTTTTTGCCACAGAACTGCTAGGAGAGTTCAAGATATAAAGGTTATATGAGGAAAACAACAGGAAAAGCTTCCTGTTCCAAGAGGACTAGTTTAACTCTCTAGGCCACAGTTCCTTCAGAGTATTAAGAAGCCGCACTGCAATTCCAAAGGCACATAGTTCAAACCCAACAGCTGCTCCGTGGTAGAAGAATGGGCACTTCCAACCCGTGTGATTTATTCCCTCTGAAAACCCACTGGAGAGTCAGCTATGGGTCAGTTCCAACTCAACAGAACACAACAACAACAGGAACATTGGTAAAGGTACTTTTTTAATTATTTGAATCAAAGTTTATAGAGCACAAAAGAGTTCTTACAAAGATTAAAAACTAATTAAAACTAAAAACTAATTGCTACTGACTCCTAGTGATATCACGTGTGGTAGGAGCAGAAAGTGATCCACAGGTTTCCAACGGCTGATGTTTTTGGAAGCAGATCAGATCACCAGAACATTCTTCTGAGGTACCTCGGGTGGATGCAAGCATCCCCTGAGCAAGTTAGCCTACTGCACCATCCAGGGAAGACTACATGACCTACTGCGCATCAGTCAGCAGGGGCCATGGAAAGTGGGGGGGAAGAAATATTAGTCTAAAAAGGACAAACTGGTTCATGGAGTTCCGAGAGCTACAGACTGGCTCACTAGTTTATGAAGCAGAATAGAGAATTGTCTAACAAAGAAAATGGCTAGAAAGAAAGGTGGTGTTGAATGTCCCAGTTCCTGGGAGGACTGAAGACCAAAAGGTGACTGTGTGAGTGTCATCTTACAGAGGCAGTGTTGAAACCAGAGGACAACCCTGACATTCCCTTTTTCACAGATGGATGGGAGCCCAGTGGGAGCTGGTGGCCTAATGGTAAGAAGCTGCACCACAATCCCTAAGGCACGCAGCTCGAATCCACCCACTGCTCTGCGCTTCTGAAAACCTGCTAGAGGGTCAGCTGCGTGGTGGGTTATGACTGATGGCACATGACAACAAAGGAAAGTCAAAGGGAGCTCTGGAGGCTTAATGGTAAGAAGTTGCACTGCCAACCCAAAGGCACAGGGTTTGAATCCAGCAGCTGCTCTGTGGGAGAAAAATGCGCAATCTCTCCTCCCACGCAATTTATGACCTCTGAAAAAACCTGGAGGGTCAGCAATAAGTCAGTTTCACCTTGACGGTACACAACAATAACAACAGTGGAAATCCACAGAGCCAGGCACCAGACCATAAATAAGCCAATGGCCTCCAGTGTCAACACAGAGTTTCATAAAAAGAGGATTTCAATCACCCAGACAGTGATGGCCCAACCATCCCAGGAGAGCAGGCTGTCCCCAGCGTTCCCTGGAACGTGACTCCATCACTTTAGCCGCATTATCAGAACCGCAGAAGTGGCCCAGCCATTGCCTCAGCCCTCGGCCCAGGTCCGGAGACGAGTACCTTTCCTTTCAATATCTAAGTTACCTCATTATTTGATTCTGCTAAGAAAAAGAAATTAATCCTGGGTGAGTGAGCACAAGTCTCCCATGCAATCGATCAAACCGAAGAGCGTGCACTGAGCATGGAATTCCATCTCCACAGTGACTGGAAACCCAATGGCAGAGTCACAGAGGGGAGACGGGAGTACTGGTTTTCTCCGACATCACACCCTGATGGCGAACTTGTAGGTAGCTTCGTCTGTTTATTTGTGCAGCTGAAAGTCACTGAAGGGGGAAAAGTTTGAGGAATGGTTTTGGTAATAAACAAGCCAGAGATACAGAGTGGATGATAAATGTTTAGGGGAAAATGCATAATCGAGGAGCTCTGGTAGCACAATAGTTAAGTGTTGGGCTGCAAATGAAAAGACTGGAGGTGTAAAGGAATCATGGTGGCACAGTGGTAAAACCCTGAGCTACTAATAGAAAGGTCAGCAGTTCAAACCCACTCATCGGTTCTATATGACAGACGTGTGGCAATCTGCTTCCACGGATCACAGCCAAGAGGACCCTGTGGGGCAGTTCAATCCCGTCACATGGGGTCACCATGCCGGAGGGTTCCCAACAACAGCAACATACAGAAACAGCACAGTGCATTCTCTCTCCAAACCAAATCCACCAGCACCGCTGTTGACCGTTCTCCTCTGAAATAATGGGCTGTTCATTTAGTGGAGGCTCCGCGTTAACAGAGTGAGAAGTAAGCTCTCTTCCTTGGGGGCTGTCTGGGGAGTGAAGAACAGACACTACTCATCAGCAGCTTTCGGGGAGAGGTGGTGCTGCCTCTGCTGATATTACTTACCTGGGAGAGACAATGGCCAGTCGGACAAAGGAAAAGAAAAAGCTCTTTTCCCTCGTCCGCAGCATTTCCGGCTTCATCATCATGAAACCACTAAGAGACTGGCAAGTGGGATGCATTCTCCTCCATTCATTAGGACGAACTGAGAGCCCATGGATGTTTTCAAGGGACATTGTGGCCAAAGGCACTGAGACTCAGGCGTGGACACAGTTCAGTTCCCAGAGCTTTTGGGGGTCCCACTGTGTAGGATTTGTCTTCAGCTCTACTTTGCTACATTTATTATTGCAGGCTTTAGGGGTGGGGAAATAAACCCAAAAATCAAACCAATGAGTCGATTCTAACTCATGGCAAGTTGGCTGTAATCACGACAGAAGTGGGTCTCCAGGCTGTTCTTCCACGGCACAGGAGGGTGGGTCAACGCCCAACCAACCATCAGGTTAGGGAAAAGCAAACTCACTGCCATCAAGCAGGTTCCGCAGGTTCCGATTCGTGGCAACCTTCCACTGGGTTTCCGAGGCTGTCGATTTTTACAAGAGGAGACTGTTTTTCTCCCAGAGAGGCTGATGGATTTGAACTGTCCATCTTTTGTTTAGCAGAGCAATGTATAATGCACTGTGGTGTCAGTGTTCCTTATAGGCTGTTAGCTGCCTGTGAGTCCTGTGTGCTACCCTGCCAGGGACCTGGGGAGCTGGGATCAGGGATGAAGAACAAGTGGTGGCTGTGTGAGGTGCTGTGGACCGGCTCTAACTCACAGTGACCCCCGTGAACAAGAGAACCAAGCCCTGCTCATTCCTGCCCCAGCCTCACATACTCTGCTGTGGGGAAGCCCACCAGTGCAGTCACTAGATCCATCCATTTCACTGACACTTGTCTCATTAGCGGGTCCTCTACTTTTCCAAAAATAACGCCCTTCTCCTGGGACCAGCCACTCCCAATAACATGGCCACAGTATGTGAGATGAAATCTCACCATCCTTGCCCCCAGAGAGCACTCTGGCTACACTTTATTCCAGAGTTCAGAGGCTCTGGATCCGAGCCCAGGTTCTACTAAGGTCCCTGGTGGCGTAGGCATGATGTGTTAGACTGCTAACTGAAAGGTCAGCAGTTCAAACGCACCAGGTGGTCCGTGCCAGAAAGACGGGGCTCACCATGAGACAGAATCAACTCGATAGCAGTGCGTGTAGGATTCAGCTTTCTAATGACAGTTCCCTTTCTGACCTCACAAAACATGAGGGAACCCTTCTGAGCCTCATTTGTGAAGCGATAATAGCAAGCTCTTACCCTCGCAGAGTGGTGGGGTGGGGAGTGGCAGGCACAGGCGTGGAGGTGGTTAGCAGTTCTACAAACAACAGATCTGAACCTTGGCCTACACTGCTCCAGCCTGGAAGACATGATGCTGGGAAAGGTGGAGGGTCAGAGAGAGAGAGAGAGAGAACCTCCACAGGGTGGGCTGGCACGGTGAGTGTAACCACAGGCTTGAGGATATGAGGGACCGTGATGATGGCACAGGACAGAGTAGTGGAGAGGCTGAGACGTTTCTAGAAATGGAGTATTCTCAAACATGAGCCACTCTACCCTCCCTGCAGAAGCCCTTAGTCAGGAGATAGAGCTCTGGTACCTGATTTGTATCGGTTTTTCTAGTTCCAAACTATTGTAGTCTTGCACCATTTATTTGTCCATGGTTTCTTAGTTTTTATAGACCTAGTTGTCATTGATTTGCATTCTAATGGAAAGAAGGACTATATATCTTCCACTGATCCCATTTTTTGGTTTTATTATGGAGAAACTTGAACATGTATAAATATCATCAGAATAGTATCATAATTCCCAAGTACCCATTATCTTTCCCTAACAGCCATAAATCAGTGGCCCACACCTTGAATCTTTGGCTTTAAAATTCTGTACCTCCAAAAAATACCATTCATTCTCTTAAAAACTAGAATAGTAATTTATGAATGATTCCTAAAATACTTCCATTAGGTGGATACTTAACAGAACCAAGTTATATAATACAAAGTCGAGTCCCTCCCTGACTATTGTGTTTTATAGTTTATTTTTTAACTTGAGATAAAGTGGGGTGATGGCCATTGTGGATAGAGCTAGGGAGCACACACATTTAGTTAATTTAAACCCAAACATCCCAACCCAAACCCAAAACTCAACCCACAGCTGCCAAGTGGATTAAAACTCATAGAGACCTTGTAGAAGAAAGCATAGAACTACCACACAGGGTTTCCAAGACCGGGAATCTTTTATAGAAGCAGATGACCTCATCTTTCTCTGTGGAGCAGCCAGTGGATTTGAACTGCCAAGCTTGTGGTTAGCAGCTCAATATTTAACTCCACATTAGCACCAAGGTTCAAGCCCAAGTACACTTACTTAATTGCTGCTTAATGTGAATGAAGGGAGCTCTAGTCAGAAGGGAGTTGTGCTACCAACCTAAAGGCAAGTGGTTTGGATCCACTAGCAAGCACAAGGGAGAAAGATGGGCAATCTCCTCCCATGCAATTTAGGACTTTGAAAACCTGCTGGAGAGTCAACCCGAAGTCAGTTCTGGACAGCAAGGAGTTTGAGTGCTAATGTGAATGGACAATGGGCTTCATCCTGGCCTCTCATCAGAGGGTTGTGAGGAGCAGACAGACTAATGTCAATCAAAAAGCCTATCACTGCAAACAGTGTTAATAAAAACCAAGTAACAAAACTGTTATAATGCATCTCATTGATTCCTGCCAACGCTGCAACATAATCTCATATTCCTGTCGATTTCATAGAAAGATTCCCTGAATTCGGAAGTCGAAACCTTACCTCGTAGCCTTTCACGCTGTCTCCCAGAGCCTCCACAATCCCCGAACACTCGAACCCCGGCACCAGAGGCGTCTTGGGGGGATTGTCAATATTCCCTTGTCGAACCATCAAGTCAATGAAGTTTAAACCACTGTGGGCGTGTGAAAGAGAAGAAACTCAAAATGAGAACCAGAAGACAGCATGTGCTCAACTTTCTCTTCTCCCTTCTCTGTCCCTCATTCCCTGCTTGCCTCCCTCCCTCCCTTCGTTTCTTTCCCCTCTTTCTAGCAAAGTGCACCTCTCCTAAAAACTTCACGTACAGAGATGGTATAGATGGTACCAAAATAGCAAAACTCAGTTCTCTGTTTGCAGGGAAGCAACAGGATTCTGCTCCCCCCCAGTTAAAATAGCAGTTGCAGAGTTTACACTCTTAATGTGAAAGGTTGCTGGTGTTAACCTCTCTGTTGACTCTTAACTTTAAAAATACATCTTGACTACTTGGTCATCAGACATTCTAGCTCTAAACTTGAACTCACTGCTGCTGGATTAGGACTGGCTAAAAGCTGACCCACCAGCAAGTTTCTGAGGCTGTAAGTCAAGGGAGGAGAACGCCCATCTTTCTCCCAACGACCCTCCACCAGTTTTCTAGGCTCTGAATCTTTACAGAATGAGACCACTTCATCTTTCCCTCGTTGAGCCCCTGGCCAACTTAAACTGCTGACTGATCTGTTATGCATTCTGACACTGCAGTGGTTAAGTGTCGAACATGACTCAGAGCGACCTAATTAACAATAGACCTGAACCCTGTCCTGTCCTGTGCCATCTCATAATTCCTGGCACACTTGAACTGTGGCAGTTACTATGTCACTCTATCTTGTTAGGAGTCTTCCTCTCTTTCACCCAACTCTCCACCTTTGCAAGCATGATGTCCCTTTCCAAGAACCAGCCCATCCTAGTATCGAGCTCAGAGTATGGCAAATGAAGCTTGGCCATCTTTGCCTCCAAGGAGCACTCTGGCTGAACTTTTCCTAAGATGTATTTGTTTGCTCTTTTGGCGGTCCATGGGGTATTCAGTACTCCAACACCACAGTTCAAAGGCATCAATTCTTCTGTCACTTTTATGCATTGTCCAGCTCTCAAATACAAGCATATCAAGTGACTGAGACGACCACAGCCTGACTAGACCTCCTGTAAAGTTCAAGAAGAAGGGCTCAAACGGGCTTTGCAAAACCCTGTAGTGTACGTATTCTCAGCAAGGCAAAAAGAGTCCCAGTGACAATACCGGCCACCGCCAGGGAGGGGCCAGGAAGCAAAGAGAGCCCAGAGGTGGGGAGGCCAGTGCTGTTTATCTCAGGATAAGGACAAGGTGAGCAGATAATGGAGGCCTCTGACCTGAACACCAGACCTCTAGCATGCTGCCTCTCTCCCTAACGCCTCCCCACAAGACATAATTAGCATTTGCCCATGTCCCTCAAGTCAACCCCAATGCCCTCATGCCTTAAGTGCATCAGAGTGAAACTGCACCATGTATTTATCAGTGGTTGATTTTTCAGAAGTGGGTCACTTTCTCCCAAGGCACCTCCGGGCAGATGTGAACCCCCAATCTTTCCGTTAGCAGTTAAGCAGTATTTGCACCTGCAGTCCTAGCATTTAAAACCCAAAGTCAAGCCTGTTGGCACCGAACCAATCGCACCTCATGGAGTGCCCACAGGTTAGAGAGTGGACCTACTCCACAGAGCTTTCCACCTTTACAGACACAGATCCCAGACCTTTCTTCTGAAGTGCTGCTGAATAGATTTGAACCACCAACCTCTCGGTTAGTAGTCGAGTGCAAGCCATTTGCACCACCAGGGACCTTTCCTGGCATCTGTGGCTGGGACTGTACTGATGGAGACATTCATTACTTGGTTTAAGAGATTTTCTTATAAAGACATGTGACCCTCAAATAGAAGGTGGCCTGCTGGGGTTCCTCCAGGATAGAGTCCAAGACCCCCTGCTTCTGGATGGACAGTGGAAGATGACAAACTATTCTGCTGCTGGCTACTGAGTTGACTCTATTGTTCCCTGAGCAATCTCTCTTCCATGAAACCAAAAGAAACAAATGCCACAATTAATTACCCTCAACAGCATTCATTCCTGACTCCACATTTCCCCTTTTTCAGACAAAACAAGTAAGTATAGATCAGAGACACTAAGTTTCTTGCCCTAGGCCACACAGTGACTGGTGACACCATCTATCTTTTCTTTTGCCCCCACAGATTCCCCACATTCTCTGAGGTAATTTCATTCTTTTTCACCTGAGAATAGCAATGACTATGCACTGATGTCCCAGCCCAGGTCCACATGAGGTGTAGTCTTCAGATATTTATGGTATCTAAAACATAAATTATGTGCTAGGCTTCTAACCAGAAGGTCAGATGTTCAAATCCACTGGCTGCTCCTTGGTAGAAAGATGTGGCACACTGCTAGCATCAAGAGTGCGGACTTGGAAACCTTACAGGGTAAATCTGCGCAGTCCTCTGGATCACTGGCAGTGGGAACAGATTTAATGGCAATGTTTTGATTTGCTTTGGACTTTTTTACACAGCTCTTAAAACATTTTAGATTTTTTGGTTTGTGTTAAGTGAAGGAAAGAGCTTGATAATAACATTATGTTCTCTAATCTTGCTTTTCTCAAAGATTGGCATAATTTTTTTTTAGATTGGCATAATTTTAATAAGTATGATAAGAGAGAGTTAGGTGTCATGTAGTTCCCCCCCTTACTAAACTAATTAAGGCTAAATTTAAAAGGTTATCATTATCCTAAAGGAATCAAAGCATTTATCCAAGGATAAAGGCCTGAAAGCAGGAAAGGGTAAGATAGAAGGATTCAGGGAGATGAGAATTACTGGGAGGAAGTGGGGAAAGTGTGATGACAGTGTGAGCTTTGTATTAAAATGTGTATGAATGGTTGTAAACATTCACTCAAAACTCAAGTCAAAACAAACAAAAATCCATAGAGAAAGCTGTCAGCTAAAGGTACTTCAAACTATGAGCTGGTGTGACTGCAGGCACTGTCTCAGAGGCACTCTGAATTTCCTGTAAGAAGAGTCAGGGAAGACCAGAATATTCCTGGTGTGGATGGCCATCAGACCCCCAGCAGCAGTGACAACAATGGCCTGACAGAGCTCCTACAACCATCTCGGGGATGTACACCAGGATCATTAATGGCGACCAGTCTTTGATGGTTTTTTTAAGACTTGTCTTCATATGGCATCATTATATACATATACTTTGGGGGAACACAAGTCAGTCCATGACACTGTTTGCGTGTCAGCTATACACTGGAATGCTAAGTAAACGGGATATTCAAAAAACACCCCAAAACTGGCTTCTGAGCCAAATTCAATGAGAGCTTAGATGGGCTAAGATGATTATCTCTGTTTCCCATTAACCAGCTTAAAGTACATTCTTTCTTACGACTTTGATGTTAGCAGTCTGGGAGACTTACAGTAACAGGCAGCTCCCATCCTCCCACTACCCTAGGGTCTGATTAGGACAAAGTCTGAGACCACCTACTCCAGCCCTGTGTGACCACACTCTCACCAGGGTGCCACGGCGGACCCAAGAACAAATCCAGAGGGCCGTCTCTGGCTACAGTGCTGCTCATTCCTCATGAAGTTCCCCCAAGGCAATAAGTCAATGTCTTTCAGCCAGACTCAGGGTCTGTTTTACAAACACAGAGACTGAGACTTTCCCTCTTGGACTTGAAACCCAATTCAAGGCTAGTTAGTACACTCAGCTCAATTCATTGCCTTCAGGTGAGAACTGACTTATAGTTGACCCTCCAGGGGGTTTTCAGAGGCTGTAAATCATATGGGAGGATACTGTCCATCTTTCTTCTTCAGAGCAACTGATGGATCTGAACCACCTGTCATTGGGTTGACAGCATAATTCTTTATCCAGTAGGCCACCAGAACCCAGAAACTAGGAGGAAAAGCCCGTAAGAGGAATCGGCACATCTAAGATCCTTTTAACCTCCACAACTTAGAGAAATAAATTTCTGTTCTTAAAGCCACTAACTTTGGGCATTTCTGCTACAGCTGTACTAGATGAATAAGGCATTTGGTCGGACAACCCTCAAAATTTATAAACATCTCAGAAGCTCAGAATGTGATTTTACTTGGAAGTAGAGTCACGGTAGATATGAACAACTAAGCAAACTGAGGTCATACTGGAGTAGGCTGGGCGTGAATCCAGCAGCACTGCTGTTCTTATAAAAAGATGCCGAGAGGAGGGAAGACAGCCAGGTGGATACCAATGCAGAGGCTAAAAGGATGGATCCACAGGCCAAGGAGAGCCGGGAGGTTCTCAGGCTGGTAGAGATGAGGAAGGAGCCGCCCTTAAAGTCTTTACAGAAAGCACGGCCCTGACAATGTGATCAGTTAGACGTCTAGACCCCGTGGCCTCGTGAGTAAGCGCTTGTGCTGCCAGTCCAAAGGCAAGCGTTGCAATCTACCAGCTGCTCTGTGGGAGAAACACAGGCAGTCTCCTCCTGTGCTATTTACAGCCTCTGAAAACCCACTGGAGAGCCAGCAACGGGTCAGTTCTGACTCCATAACAATGCCTGGCTGACCTACTGAACGTCTGGGAGTAGGAGAGAACAATATTCTGTTTTAAGCCTCCCGATTTGAGTGTGTGTGTGTTTTTTTTTTTAAAGTGGCCACAGAGAACTAATGTAGACACACACATTTTTATCTTTCATAGCAGATGTGTCTTCGGTCTGTTGTCACAGTGGTGAAACAAAGAAACGTGGGCTTGAACAACTCCTCTCACCCACAAAAGAGAAAAAATGAGAGCAAGGTTTTCTGAGACTGAGGCCCATTGTCCTTGGCATTTTGCAGTGATCAGCTCAGATAAAGAAAGAAAAAGAAGAGCGTCAGTCCTGGGAAAAGGAGGGAATGTACCAAACCTCTGCTTTTCTGGCCCGTCATGGACTCAGAGTCAAAAGTGTTGATGAAGGTATTCTCAGAGAGATGAGGGCAGAATACAGAAGACACGCCATGCTGCTCCTGTGCAGCGGGGTCTTGTACTGGGTCTGCCCGGTCCCATCAAGTGCTGCCCAGCACCAGGGGGGTGCTTCCAACATGCCAATGTCCTCCCTAGAGTTCT